ACTAAGTATCAGCTTCTCAGCCCCAAGGTTTTACTTGGAGTAGTTATTTAATTAACTTGGATTTAAGTATTGTGTGCATTCTCCTTTTAGACTGAACATTATAAACAGATCTACATATTTAGAAATAATTTTGTAAGGCAAGTTAGGAGAAGTAAACTAAAAATCTCAAAATCGTATATTCAATATGATATCTGCAAAAAATGAGTGATAATCAAAAAGTAAGCATAAAATTCTGTTTAAATCACAGGAAGTAAATGAAGAATGTAGGTATGTGGCACTACCTTCATTTAACTTTATCTTAATAGAAATATTACTGTCAAAACATGAGAAATAGCTCAAACATTTCCCAATTATTGTAAAAACAGATAAGGAATCATAGAAATGTAGATTGCCTCAAGTTCTTGATTTTCTTTATATACTAGTTTTCTATTCAGATACATTTCTTAAATTATATTAATTTTTCTAAAACATCTTTGAAAGAGAGCAGCCTTATCATGTACATATTTTCTTAGGTAAACTCTGGAAATAAATCTGAGGTCTATGGCAGACTTGATGATTGCAATATAAATGCAAAAATAGAATTTTAAGGGGGAATTGAACAGAAAGGTCCCTATTAAAATTGTTATTCAACTGTGAAGTGATTATGTTTTTCTTTTTGCTACAGTTTTAAATGTCATATACTTAAGTAATGATATCAGTGAAAACATTTTTAATCATTCCATTATATAATCAGAGCTCCATTCCAACCCCCCAAGATACCTAATTAACAGTATTTTTTAAAAAAAAAAGAAGAAGATAGATTCTTTTGTGCAGAAGTAATGCGTTCTTTCAAGTCTATGCCAGCCTAAAGGTCCTGAACTAGGGAAACCTGGCCACAGAGTCCCTGCCAGCGGGGCCAGTTTTATTTTCCTTATTCATACTCAGTTACAGTGTCTGTATATTCATGAGTATACAGAACCAGCTCAGGAAGAGTCAACCCTCAGAATAGGACAGGATCAGAAGTCTTTAACTTGAAAATAAAAAGTATTTTACACTATAGTTTAAACTATGAAAAGGAAGAAGATACTAAAAATCAAACAGGAATCAGTTTTGAGCTTAATAAATAGGTAGAGGTATTTGAGGGAAATTATAAGTACTTCTTAATTCCTAAACCAGTATCCTTGACAAAAAAACCCTGCTGTTTGTTTGCCTTTTATTTTTATGTAATTTGGAGAGAAGAGTGGCATTTTTCAAGAAACTAATGAGCGTGAAGGCTTCCTGTTACTCTTATATTATTGCAACTATTGTATTAATGACAAATATGGGTTTGCATTTTAAACAGAGGAGGCAGCGTCACAGAAGTAAAACTTGAAAAATAAATAATATTCCTTAGTTTTCACACCAACTCACACACACACACACACACACACACACACACACACCCATAGGTTAAAAATGGTGAACTATTTAGAGTTTACATATAGGGTAAAGAGGCAATTATGCTCATCACCTTACCCACAGTGAGTCTGATCTGACTCAGGGAATAATCAACAATTTTAAATCCCAATTCACCAGATTCTTCATCTCAGCTTTAGAGTGGGCTCATACCCTCATGGGTATTCCTGGAATATGAGATATGCTTTTTACTGTTGCTACCATTTGAAACAAGTTCTCAGCTATTAATTTTGTAATGATTATATATTCATTTCTATGACAATTCTTAAAAATGCCCTTAGTTTATTACAATTATTTCATGTTTACTAATTTTTAACCTTGGTAAACATTATAATAATAGCAAAAGCTTAGTTTTATTTTTTCATATACTGAGAAAACAAAAGTTTTCCAGAAATTATACTATTGAAATTCAACAGTAATTAAGGAGGCACACTAGGCATAACAGTAAAGATTCACAGTAAACCCTCGGTCATTTAAAGTTTGCACTGTCTGTACTTTGTACTACTCACCATAGACTGACTACATAATCCATCTGTTAACTGCTATTTTTGTCTCAAGTTGACAAAATAATAAATTAAATGTACCAATGTAATAATTATCTTTTTAAAAAGGTTCTTTTAATACAGTTATTCTAAATGGAAGGTGGCATTGCTATCTTGTGGCAATCTAGAAGAAACTGAATTTTCAAAGAGAAGCTGAAATAGCATACACTTTCAGGAGAGAATTCAGGAACAGATGCTCTCCATGTTGGATGCTAGGTGATTACTGGGGGGAGAAGCAAATTGCCACTCCTTTAGTCCTTAATTTCAGGAACAAATATTTCCTGATACACAAATGTGCTCTGTGTACCTAGGGCCCTGAGTTTAAACCATGCTCAACTCTACCGCCTCAGTCCTCTTGTGCACTGAGAATTAAAGTCACCTGTCACTTTAGTCAAGCCATGTCTTCCTTCAGAAATGAAAAACACGTGATTGGAAATGGGAATGTTCTTATTTGAAGCTCGAGAGAGAAAGAGAGGGAAAAAAAATCCAAACCAACAAAACTTGTCATGGTTTCCTGATGGTCATTGCAAGGAGATGGATTGAAATATGTTCTTTTTATTACCCATACAGAGTCGTTTAAGTTACGTTTTCTAAAGGAAAAATAAAAATCCCAGTCTCCTGAAAAGCTAGTGGCGACTTGGCCCACTGTCACCCTCTGACCATCTAGTCCTGAAGAGAAAGGTGATGGTGTTTTTCTCTTGCTATTGCGGAAGTGGAACGTGCCTGCCAGAAGCAAGACAGAGCACTGAGAAAAAGCAAACGAAGGGCTGCAAATACAAAGTCTTTTGTTAAAAAAGAAAAAAAAATGTAGATTGTATGATTATATAAAACCCTATTTTGAATCTTCTAAAAGTTCTCATGGTGCCTCAGTCACCAGTTTTGGCATGTGTTTTCTATTTAACATGTCCCTGTTTGTTTTTCATTATAGCCATGTTATCATTTTTAATCCAGAATTTAAAGTCAACTTTTAAAGTTTGGCATGAATTTGAAAGCTGTGGGAGGAGGGCACTGCCTCTTGAATGAATGACCCTGACACTTTATTATTTATTGTATGAATTAAACCTACATGATTATAATTCCAGTTCTGTTTCCTACCACATTCACATGGTAAATTGGGAAGCAAAAACTCAAAGAGATCAAGCTATCACTTTCAACAGACTGCTGTGATGACAGATGTGAATCAGTAGAAATGAACTGAAATGAAATCACTGGAAAGTTGCTACAGGATTTTAAAGTGCATTATTAATAGTTCATTAAAACCTTTTTCCTTCACAGGAGATTCACGAAGTGTATATTTTAAGGAGAAGTATAAAGGGAATCTAGTCTGCTTGCTCTACTTCATGAAGAACAACTGCATCAAGTTTTCTTTACCTCTTGGAAAAATATTACCTGCTCTTGCTTAACGCGCCAGCACTAGAAATCCCGAGAAAGCAGCAAGAAGCAAAAGCTGGGAATAGCTATTTCACAGCAGGTAATCATCCCTCTGAACGTAGCTACTGTGCAGAGTTTTTGCTCGGATAGTCCTGCATGGGAGTAAAGGTTGAGGACTAACTGCCTGACAACCTTAATACTGCACAGGTCTTAGCATCGTCACTGGCTTTCTTCCTGAGGATCTGAAGTCACTGGCTTTGACTGTATCACAAACGAAGAGCCAATAAGAATTTCAAAGAGGGTGATTTCCACTAAGGGAATTGAACTACATAAAAAAAAAAAAAAAAAGAAGAATCTTCACTCAGAAACTCTTATCAGAAATAGAAAAACAATATAGGAAGCCATGTGCCCTGCCTGGTGACAGGAAGCTGAGCTGGTTTTGGCCCCTACTTTAATGACCTTGCCCAGCATGCAGAACTGCACGTGGAATGTCCGTTGACAACAGTGAGCCTCGTCTGAAGGTGTGTGCAGCTTAAGATCACTTGATAAAGAGTGAAGAACATTTCCAAGGACATAACAGGAGCATATAGTTCCAATCCCTCACAAGGGACATAATATATGCGCATTGGATTTTCACCCATGCAAAATTCACTCACATCGTTCAATAAGGTAGGAAATATATTAAAATATTTTATTTCCATCCCTAGAATTAGAAAGGCTAAATAATACCTAAAAAATACAGAGAAGAATATATTATACCATGGACCAGTATAAAATTGTTTTTCCCCAACCATGGAAAATGCTGAATCATGTTCTGCCTAGAACTTGAAGAAATGTGTTGTAAAAACATGTTATGAGATGGGATATAAAGAAATATGTAACTAAAGTCTTTAAACCATGTAGTATGGGTATACTAAATGAAAAATAATATTTTAACATAAAAGGGAATTTTTCTCTTTGATTAGCTAAATATATTAACTATGTAATTCTTTCCCTAAAGTGATGAAGAAAAGATTCCTTGTCATTTTCTCCCTAGAAATGCCCTTCTAATACTTTTTTATATTAATAGTCAAAGAAAAAGAAATCACACTCATGAGCAAAACAGGAAACAACTCCACAATCTCAAGCAGTATGTCACAATTCCTGGGAAGCAGTAAAAGAGTAGATTTTTTTTTTTATTACATATTCCTGCATCTGCATTTTCTTTATCTGTTAAAGCATAGAAAAAGAAAAGTTTTTGTAATTAATTATATTCCTAAGTGTCTAGCCATTATGAGTATTAAGACAAAACAAACTTTTATCAGGTTGGTCAATGATTGGTTACAAAACTGTTACGAGATATAATGAGAATACCTTAGAAAACTCAACAAAATTTCACTGCATTCAGTATTATGAAATCAGGTGGGTTTGGGACATGATACATATACCAGAAACAATTGAAGTAATGAGATTACATGGCTCTGTTCATCGTTAGCTAGCACTATGATCTAAATTACAGTATATTTTAGAGATAGCCAAAAATAGAAAGAAGTGCGAAAATATTTAAAAGGGATTGTACATGCCTTTAGTTCCCATAACTGTTTTAAACACTATTTTCAGTATGTTCGCCTGATAGTTTTCTGTCTTTTTCTTTTTTGTTCCATTTTAGGGCTCTGGAATAACGGAAGCTGCCTTTGTGTAAAGAACGCAACACTGTTGACCATGATCAACCCAGCCTGGAGCGTCTTCCTCATGGGGACTAAAATTGGGCTGTTTCTTCAGGTGGCACCTCTGACAGCCATAGCTAACTCCTGTCCATCTGTGTGTCGCTGTGATGCAGGCTTCATTTACTGCAATGACCGCTTTTTGACATCCATCCCAACTGGGATACCAGAGGATGCTACAACTCTCTACCTTCAAAACAACCAAATAAATAATGCTGGGATTCCCTCTGAGTTGAAAAACTTGGAAAAAGTAGAAAGGATATACCTATACCACAACAGCTTAGATGAATTTCCTACAAATCTCCCAAGGTCTGTAAAAGAGTTACATTTGCAAGAAAATAACATCAGGACTATCACTTACGATTCACTTTCCAAAATTCCCTATCTGGAAGAATTACATTTAGATGACAATTCTGTCTCCGCTGTCAGCATCGAGGAGGGTGCCTTCAGAGACAGCAACCATCTCCGGCTGCTTTTCTTGTCCAGAAACCACCTTAGCACAATCCCTTGGGGTTTGCCCAGGACTATAGAAGAGCTACGCCTGGATGATAACCGCATTTCCACTATTTTATCACCATCTCTTCAAGGTCTTACTAGCCTGAAACGCTTGGTTTTAGACGGAAACCTTTTGAACAACGATGGTCTAGGCGACAAAGTGTTCTTCAACCTCGTCAATCTAACAGAGTTGTCACTAGTGCGAAATTCCCTCACTGCTGCACCAGTAAACCTTCCAGGCACAAACCTGAGAAGGCTTTACCTTCAAGAAAATCATATCAATCGAGTGCCCATCAAGTCCTTTTCTTCTTTACGGCAGCTGTACCGACTTGATATGTCCAATAATAACCTAAGTACTTTACCTCAGGGTGTCTTTGATGGTTTGGACAACATAACTCAACTGATTCTTCGCAACAATCCCTGGTATTGTGGCTGCAAGATGAAATGGGTACATGACTGGTTACAGTCGCTACCTGGCAAGGTCAACGTGCGTGGACTCATGTGCCAAGCCCCAGAAAAAGTCCGGGGGATGGCCATCAAGGACCTTAATGTGGAGCTGTTTGATTGTAAGGACAGTGAGGTTGGAATGCCCAGTCAGGAGAACACAGTAATACCCAACACAGGGTATCCTGCACAAGGACAGCGGCCTACAACAGTGACCAAACAGCCAGACGTTAAGAACACCAAGCTTACAAGGGATCAGCGAACTACAGGGAGTCCGACAAGGAAGACAATTACAATTACTGTGAAATCTGTCACTTCTGACGTAATTCATATCTCTTGGAAACTCGCCCTACCCATGACTGCTTTAAGACTCAGCTGGCTCAAACTGGGCCACAGCCCAGCATTTGGATCTATAACAGAAACAATAGTAACTGGGGATCGCAATGAATACTTGATCACATCCCTGGAGCCTGATTCGCCCTATCGCATATGCATGGTTCCCATGGAAACCAGTAACCTCTACCTATTTGATGAAACTCCTGTTTGTATTGAGACCAAAACCATACCACTTCGAATATACAACCCCACGACCACCCTCAATCGAGAGCAAGAGAAAGAACCGTACAAAAACCCCAGTTTACCGTTGGCCGCTATCATTGGTGGGGCTGTGGCCCTGGTGACTATTGCCTTTCTTGCTTTGGTGTGTTGGTATGTTCACAGGAATGGGTCACTTTTTTCAAGGAACTGTGCATACAGCAAAGGGAGAAGGAGAAAGGATGACTACGCAGAAGCTGGCACTAAAAAGGACAACTCTATCCTGGAAATCAGGGAGACGTCTTTTCAGATGTTACCGATCAGCAATGAATCAATCACAAAGGAGGAGTTTGTGTTACACACAATATTTCCGTCTAATGGGATGAATCTCTACAAAAACACGCACAGTGAAAGCAGTAGTAATCGGAGCTACAGGGACAGTGGGATCCCAGACTCGGATCACTCACACTCGTGATGCTGGAAGGACTGACAGCAGACTCTATTTTTGTTTTTATAAACTCGAGGGGGGTGATGGTAGGAACCCTGTTCTACTGCAAAAACACTGGTAATAGACTGGGAGGGTGGGAAAAGCAATGTACTGTACATTTGCCATATAATTTATATTTAAGAACTTTTTATTAAAAGTTTCAAATTTCAGGTGACTGCTGCGATTGTAGTAGTGGAGATGCCTGAACACAATTCTATATTTTAGTATTTTTTAGTAATTTGTACTGTATTTTCCTTGCAAATATTGAAGTTACAAACTATTTACTTTTGTGTTCTACTGAGTAAGATGACTTATTGACTGTGAAAGTGAATTTTCTTGCTGTGTTGAACAATCAGGACTGCACTCACTTGAGATCCTTGTAGTATAAGCACAGGCCATTTTACACTTTGGTATTAATAAAATGTAAAAACAAACAGATAATGAAGCGGTTGAATGAGGAAAATGAAATTTCAAAACTAGTTATAATGTTTCAATTATTAAATTTGTATTATCCCAGTGGTATTCAGTAAACAAACTGTGAAGTAATGGGCAATATTGACTTGCTGCATACCTCTATTTCTGCTCTAGGCAAATGAAATGTCATTAAGAAAGCAAGCATAACTTTTTAAATAAATCAGCTAGCATAAAAGGAGTGTGAAGTCTATTAGAAGTTGTGAACAAAAATTAGAGAATAAAAGACTTCACAAAAATAATAATTTAAGTGTGCTTCCAAGTTTGGGGGGGAAATGTACAGTTAAGGAGAAACATAAAAACTTAAACATGCATTGTGTAATAAACACAAATACCAGAATTGCATTTTGCTATTACTTATACCATCCTGTTTTTTAAAACTGAATCTTAAACATATAATTGTTAGTGTGTGGGATTTTTTTTATCATAAAGAATGTCAAAAAAAAGGATACATATTAAAAAAGATAGCATACCCATAGGCAACTTCTTCTAACAATCCAGAGAAATTTATGGTTTAAGTAAGTAAGCATTTTGAAGAAAAATAAATCCTGGAAATAAAGTTTAAATCTGGTATATGTGAAATGCTTTCATGCTGTACATAAATCTTGAATTTACTTTTATATTGGCTAAAAATACTGCCCATTACTGTCACAGATTTCCAGATATTACATAATGAACTTGAAATGTAATATTTCTTTCTAGCATCCACATAAATTGTGAGCTACTAATTAATTATCTTAAGAAAATACATCACTCTTCTGTTGCCATGATTATTATGTTTTCAACAAAAAAACCAAAGTGCATTGTACGCCCTTTGGCCAGTCTTATATGTGCCTTGATCAAATGCTACATGTATTCAGCTTTTAAACTCAAATTTTTCATACTTCCTTAAATAGGAAAAAGTATGGTCTTATTGCTGAATAAAGCTTAAAAATAAAAGGACAAAATCAATGTGCCTGCCTTTTGCTTAGAGATTGTGTTACTATTCCTAAAGTTGCGGATTTCCCAGCACATTAATCCTAGCACTCCATGTATTTTTCATAATATAAAAACAAAAGGTGGCTACAAATTTGAAAATATTAGTATCTTTGAGCTCATGTCTTATTTTACTTGGAAGACTTCAGTGTTCCAGGCATAAACTCATCTTCCTAAGATATCTTTGGAGAGCTCGCATTTTACAGAAAATGTCAGAATTAGTGTCATGGTATTTTCATGCTGCCATTATCTTAATACTTTGCAAGGTAGTCTTTGAAAAACTAACATTTTTTAACAGCAGTTTCTGAGTGGGGCAGATTGTCCTCAAGAGGATTTTAAAAATTTCAAATTAACTACTTAGTAGATGTTGATGTTGTTAGCTGCCGTCCAGTCATAGATGACTCATAGCGACCCTATGAATGAAAGGCCTGAGCACTGTTCGTACATAAGGTTTCCTGAAGCAAGCCATTGTGGAAGTGGATGCCACTCCTGCTTCCAGACTTAGTAGCTAGGTAAGTAAAAAGCAAACGACACTTCCCTTCCCATATCTCAGTTTCCTAACTGGTCATTAATATTGTCATCTCACAGAGTGGTTGTGAGGATGGATTAAACAATGATGTGCATGAAAACTACAGTATTCTGCAAAATATGTTAGCCGTGTCTCCCCAGAGGTTTGTGCGATGCTGTTACTTCTGTCTTAAAATTGACTATGAAACGGCATTCGTCATTCATTTGCCATCTTCAGATTGCTTACAACACTTTTCTTAACTTCTCTGTAAGGAACATTGTTTTCTACAAATTACTATTAAGTAGAGGTAATGTTTTCTAAAGGAAGCTTTGCAATAGTTAATAGAAGTTTTGAATATAGTTGAACTATAGTTCTGCCAGACGTCAGAGAAAGGGCTGGATGGCGCCATAAGATTCCTGTGAAACTGAGCTCTAAATGCAACAAGACAAGAGATTAGATTGACTATTTATCCAAAATAAATTAATCTAATACATTCTTTTTCATTGTCTTTCTTGTTGTTGTTGTTATGTGCCATGGAGTCGCTTGTGACTCATAGCAACCCTGTATACAAGAGCCCTAAATGCTGTTCTATCCTGTGCCAACCTAGCCATCTCAAACACACTCATTCCCACTGCTCCACTCACAGAATCGATCCATCTCATCAAAGGTCTTCCTCTCCTTCGCCGCCCCTTCGCCGCCCCTCCAATCTCCCAAACATGATGTCCCTCTCCAAGGACCAGTCCCTCCTTGCAACATGCCCAAAGTATGTCAGACGAAGCTTCGGAATGCTTGACTCCAAGGAGCATTGTCTTTACCTGAGATAAATTTGAAACACGCTGTATACCAGCAACTATGCATACAGAACACCAGATACACAGAA